GTCCAGCAGCGAGGAGATGGGGCCGGCGCTCACCCCCAGCCCTGACCTGCTCCTACCCCGCAGCATCGCCGACAAGGTACGGGCCGGGGAAGGGGGGGCGCGGCATTTGGGGGGGTCTCTGCTTTTGGAGAGGAGGCAGCAGGGCTGTGTGTGTGCTTCCCCGCCACATCCCCTTCCTCAGCTGCATCCCTGGCTCCCCGCGGGGAAATGAAGCCCTGGGCGCTGCTGGCATCCATTGCAAGAGCCCGGGGCTGCGCGGGGGGTGGGGAGGCAGCCGGTGTGGGGGCCGCGGCATCGTGTCTGTCTGTGTGAGGGGCCGGCTGGGACACCGGTGCTCCCGCTCTCACCGGAGTGGGTGCGAGAGGCAGGATTTTACTGCTCATATCTTCCTGTGGCTCATACCCTCTACAGACGGGTCTGAATGCTTCAGGAATTGCTGTAGCTCCTTCCTGCAGCCCTCACGGGGAAGGCTTGGAGCTGCCGTTGTTTCCTTACCACCGAGCTTGCCATCAGCTTGTCTGTGATTGTCCTCTCCAGAGCTGAGCTCCTGCTCCCTTCTTCACAACAGCGTAATACGGAACGGATGCTGTTGCAGGGGTATCTGTGCCTGCTTTCCCTTCCATAGCTCTGGCATGTGTCCGCAGGACACTAGCGGCCTTTGTAAAGTGCCTTGCCCGTGTGTGGGCCTTGGATGTGACAGTTCCTGAATGTGAAAGCAGTAGTGGTAGCACAGCACGACAGCTGATACGTTAACTACTCTTGCAAGGACTTAGTATCTCCGTGGGCAGACTTCCTGAAATGTGTTAAGGTAGGATTTCCTGGGAGCAAGGGTTGCAAGGGGTGAGATTGGTTTGAAACTTTATAATAAGCAGTTCTGGGCCAGCTGGTGCGCGTACAAGGTGTTACGGAGCTGCTGGTGGCGAGAGGGGCTTCCTGTAGCTGTTGTCCTGGGGAGTGTGGAGCTTCTTCTGGGCAAGACGGGTCTCCTAGCCTCCAAAAGCCTTGGGGCTGCCAGCAGTACCTGGTCCGATACGCTTCCGTGCTGTAGGGGAATGAGTCAAGGTAGTCTGACCTCCTCCACATATCACCTTCTGCTGCCCAGTCATTGTGCTGTCCAGATTCAGCACTTGTTCCTGCCCATGTAAGGAGCCCTCTCCTTAAATGTTTGCCCACTGTTGCTCAAGTGAGAAGCCAGGCTTACCTTCCTTCTGCCTTCATCTAAGAAACTTGTCAAAGAGTTGATGGCCCTCTGAAGGAAGGGGGTGTAGGAGTAGGAATTGTAGAGTTTTTTGTCTATGATAGATTGAATTTATACATGTAACTAGGTTGCTATCTGACTGTAGCAATACAAGTTGGCAGCTGCCATTATGGGTCTTCTTGCAGCTCAAGGAGTGCAGCGGTGGTCCTGCACTGACTCTGTTAGCACTGTCCATCCACGCTGCTGTGCAGCTGGTGAGAAGTTCTGTTCTGAGGAGTAGCTCACACCCTATAACTTCTTTCCTCAGCTGTATTGAAGAGCTTTTTTGCTTTTGGAGCACAAGTGGGCTCCTCTCCTCTTTACTGCTTTGAGGTGTCTAAGAAGTGTATCAGTGTCCCTGATAACCTAGGAGCAGAAATACCTCTCTAGCCTCAGGCTGTGGTCAGCTAACTTCTCCTTAGTAGCAAGGTTCTTGCCCAGTTTTTCCACCAGCAACACAGGTGAAGTCCATCTTTTACTACCTGTATGTAGTACTGTCCTGTTCTAGGCACTTGGCAGCACAGAAGTACTCTAAAGGGGAGAGCAAAAAAGGGCTGAGGTAAGTGATTTTTAGACTTGAGAGCAGTTCTGTGGTTGACCTGGAAATGGCATTAGGGTTAATAAGCCTTGCAGAATAAAAGGATTTCCAGCAGGAAGAGAGCAGCATTCTTTTTTTTCCTTTTAGCTGAATTAGCAGAAAAAGCCAAACTTCTGATCCTTCTGATGGAAGGAGTCCAACAGCTCTGCTGTGTGAGGGGTGTCCCTTCTTGCGCTTAATACCTGACACACTGGCAAGAAAAAAAAGAGTTGATTTCTTTCCCACCTGAGGAAAAACTTCAGTGAACAAACAGGTGTTCCTAACTTTAAGGCAACAGTAAACTTCAACGTCTTGCACTGTATTGAGTAGTCTAGAGAGTGAGCATGGTAAGTGGAGGTAAATAGGTAAAACTGCATTTTAGGTGGTTAGTATATCTCTTGGTCTTAATCTCTGGTGGTGGGTCATTAATCTCTTGAAAGGCTGGCTCACTAATCAACTAAAAATGGTTGGGTAACAGAGGGAGGTCAGTATTCAAGTCTGATTTAGGCTTAAAGCTCTGCACCTGTTCTTTGTTGATTCTTGAATAGGAGCGGTGCTTGTCTGCTCTCTTGGCCTTTCTGGAGAGTCTGGTGGAGACTGGCACTGTAGGAGAAGTTTGGGTCGAAGTCTCCTGCTTCAAAGTGGGTCTGAGTCAGTAAGCTTCTGTAAGGACCACTGTCCATAACCAGGCCTGTACTAGGACATGCCTCTGGCGCAGGGATGGTGGCAATGGCTGACCCATCACCCTGAACTGGGTAACTTGCTTTTTCCAGGTTCTTCTTACCTGCAAATCTTCCTAAACACTGCTGCAAGATAAAAGTACCCAAGACTGAAATCCTCTGAGGGGAGAAGGTGCAGAAGTAAGGGAAGTTGTCTGCTCGTAAAGCAGTGCTTCAATTTCCACTGCCACAGATGTGTAGCCTGAAGTGGTTGAACCTCTGCCATCACTGCTTTGCATTCTTTAAAGCATGCTTTCCTTGCTTTTTTGGAGCTGCTGAATAAGAACACTACTTTATCCTGAGTCAGAGGAACCTGGAGGATGGGAACACTGCCTGTGTGTCTCCTGTTGGTTTTTGATTCAAATATGGGAGTAATCTAGTAGCTTAGACCCTGTCTAACTTTGAAGTCTCACAAACCTTTGGTTGCTGTTTAAGAACAGTGGCTAATGCTACTACAGCAGTAGGTCATGGGAAAGAGAAGGAAAACCTTCTGTGCTGTTTTCTGTGGCTTCCGTGGTTCTGAGGCCCTCTAAGTAGACTAGTCTCAAGTTTTCTGAATCTTATGAAGAGGGCTGCAGAGCTTTCATTGTCTGAAATAGCATCTTCACCCTAACTTATAGGAGAGAGCAGTTTTAGGAGCCAGGAAGCCTTGATTTCTGAGCAGCATCTAACCTCTTAAGTGAAATGGACATTTCTGGCTAAGTACTTGGCTTTCACAGTGATTCTGCAGCAAACGTGAAACACTTGAGTTGTAGACTCTTGTCTCTAGAGCATTTCTGTATTGGCCAGATCCTTCTATAAAGATCTTTCTGTTCCCCTCAAGTCTAATTGCGTAAAACATTGTTTGTCCTGATACCTGACCACCATCAGCTTTTTTGAGCTTATTCTCCCTTTACCCTTGCTAGCCTCCAAATAAGGAGACAGCTAAAGCTGAACCTAAGCAGTACTGACCCCGCCTTTTTTTTTTTGGATCTCAGGTGAGAGGGAAACATGCAGGAGGAAACAATCCCTCAGGATGCATGGCAGAGTTAGCTGTAAAACTGAGTTCTTGCTCTCTTACAGAGCTTTTGGAAGGCATGCAAGCTAACTGAGATCTGCTTTTCAGAGCAGATCCTCTGCAGAGGAAGGTAAGACAAATGGGGAAGTGTCAGTGTGGATTTCTCTCCTTTTTTTCCTTTTAAAAAAAAAAAAGGAAGTTCTGCTTGCATGTGAGTATTTCACTCTAGTTCATTAGTTTGTCACTTTCGATAGCGAATCTGCGCTGTGTACTAGGACAAACTGACACTGGGGAGAAAAGGCATTATTGATGGGTTACTGGGCTTGGGGCAGAGATGAGAAGTAGATAGTATTCTGCTGTGTGATTGTACCCAAAAGGTTGTAGAATTGTGATAAGACTCAGGATGCAGCCCCACTGAAGCTGTGCGGATTTAATAGCATGCTGCTAAGTGTTGGAAGTGCAAGGCTGTGCAGAATTAGAACGGAAGTGTTCTGTATGGCTTACTCTTGCTGTCCTCTAACTGTGGTCCTTCTGGTTCCTCTAGACTTGTGTCGTGAGAGTATCTTCCTAACAGGGTGATGTTGGCTGTTCTTGCTTCCGTCTGCCTTGAGACTGGCAACTATCTGGTAGGGTCCTGACTCCCAGTGCTGGTTTCTTGCCTATCACTCCAAAAGCTTTAATATCCCAACTGTCCTCGGGCTCAGACTCCATTGTCCTCTTTCAGGCATCTCTGACTACCTGATACTGTACTTGTGGCCAGCTACCTATAACCTGTATGTTATAGGTAGATGCCCATGCCTTGTATTTGGCTCTATTAACACTAGACAGCTGAAGTGAGCTTCAAGTCTATTTTACAGGTAATATATCAAGCAGAGCTCATGTCTAATACCAGGCTTGCAATGAATGCATAACTTGAATTTGTTAATTCATGGAGATGGACGTTAAAACACCTACTGCAAACTTCTGGTTACTAACTGAAAACTGTTGCTGGCGTGTGACCCCTTGCTTATCTGCTTCCAAGTTACCACCCTGGTGAACCTCTAGGCCTGTATTAGCACCTGATCAAGTAGAAATACTTGGTGTGTTTGTTGGAGTGCTGTTACTTAGGTCTCATATTCTGGACGGGAGCCTGGCAGCTCTCCCAACAAAAAATATACCGAGAGTCTGGAGCTCTACTTCCAGCCTCCTTGGTTGCTAGTTTAATTATTGCTCTTAACTTCATCCACCCACAGATGAAACCAGTTTGCAGTACAATCTGAAATCTTAAAATAGATCTGCCTGAGCTCCTACAAACCTCTTCCTTCTCTGACTAAATGAGAACTGTTAGACCAGCACCATGTATTTTTCTTAAAGCAAGTTGGAGATAAATTCTCAGTCTTGGGAGAGACTGAGGACTACAGAAAGTCAGGAACTGAAGTTGGTGAACTCATGAAACAATGCTGGTATGGATGAGTTGATCTCAGTTCCAATCTACAGGAACACAAAATGGACAATTGCAGAGAAGTTGAGGTTGGAAGACAGCTCTGGATATCTTCTAGTCCAACCC